GGTGCAAAGAAGCAGATGGACCCCTGAGGGCCTCCTGGGGTCCATGACCTTGGCCCTGGGAACCACAGGCAGCCAGGAGGTATATAGGAAGGTAAAGCATTAATCTAATGAATGAAGACTAAGAGTCAGATATCCGGGTAAAAACCTGGGAGATCAGAGAACCGGAAGCAGCTGCCGGTTACTTCCTACCTGTCTCCTTCCTCTGTCCAAAAGGGCAGAGATCCTGTCTCCACCCCCCTACCTTTTCACTTTCTGCCTCTACCTCCCAAGTGCTGGGATTAATCGTGAGCCACCAGTGCCCAGTTTCTATGGTTAACTAGAGGCCAGCTCTGCCCTCTGATCACCAGGCAAACATTATTTGTCGGAACACAAACAAAATCTCACACAACAGGAAGGCAGCGTTTTGTCTATAGATGTTTTTGTTTGTTTTTGTTTTCGTTTTTGTTTTTGTTTTTTCTCTCACAGTGTGGTCACAGTCAAGCAGGGGTTGGGTGACCATAGAGAAACCAGGCTGAGTGCTCAGCTAAGAGCGGACTGACTCCAGACTGGAACTGGGAGGGGGGCCTGAAGCCTGGGGGAATCACCCATGCGCATGAAGCAGGTGATACCAAGTATTCTGTCCTGCCAGGCTAGGCACCAAAAGATTCCCCACTCCCTCCTGAGGACGAGGTGCAGGACCCACTGAACAGGCACTTGGTAACTGGACCTCCACCACCTGCCCAGTGTCCCTGTTAGTCTTGGAAGACAGGTGGATGTGGCTCCTGGTGGCAGTTAAATAACTGTGGCCCATTCCCTATTGCCTGTCAACCAGTGCCTTGGGGAGTAGGGAGTAGAGATCAGGAGTGACTAGCCCATGATCAAAAAGGAACAGGGGCCCAGGAGATCCAGGGTCAAAGGACTCAGCTTGAGACACCTGCTGGCCTTCATCCCTCAATCTCTTGGTCCATACCTGAAGGGAACAGAGCTGAAGATGATGTTGCTTGAAAGTTCTTCCTGTAGCTCACAGGATCCAGAATCATACAGACCCGGAGGGCGCCAGGGCCTACTGGGTCCCTGAGACTTGCTGAGACAGCAATGTTGATATCAGATGTGGGTCACTGGGCTATGCCTGGCCTGGGTGTGGATAGGACTATCAGTAGTGAACATTGGAGCTCAGGCTCCAGTAACCAAGCTGGGTAGGAGGCACTTGGGTCAGGAAAAGGGCATCTTTCACTCACTGAGAAACACCTTTAGCTAAGTATCTACTATGTTCCTGCGGCCATCCATAGCCAGAGACCTAGAGATGTGGACATACTTGCCCTGAGACTAGGGGATCTTCCCAGGACATGCTGCTAGAGTGGGAGAAGCAAAATGTCAAGGAAACAGGGTGGCACTTGTCTCAGGACCACCTCCAAGTTGGTGGGGATGACTTACATAGGTGACAAACTGACAGGAAAGTGCAGTAGAGAAGAGATTCGGTTATATAGTCCCTTCTAAAAGGATGACTTGCACAGGCATAAAGGACAGTTAGGGCAAAATGCAGACTGGTGGCTGAGAGGACAGTCTAACGCAGCATCCTGACATGGAGACCAGCAGAAGTTTCTCAGAGAGTGGCCAGGGAGCAGAGGCTTGCCTTAGGAGACAGATGGACGTGTTCTGAGAAAGGGAGGGGGTAGATGTCCCGTGGTCTGAGGTATGAGTCACAACACTGTTGTCCCATAGAAACTACAGGGGTACAAAGCAGGGGGGTGGAGAGAAGCCTACCAACTACTGCAGCATTCAGGCAGGGTGAGCGAGTTACCATGGAAATAAGGGTGTGCCTCAGGGAGACAGTGCTGGGTTGGGCTTGCCTTAATGGTGTGCTTGGACAGCTTCCCACAACCTGTACCGTCCCCAGCAAGGTAAGGCCCCTGAAGACACTTCCGGAAAGTTGGGCAATGACAAAGTCTTGAGAATCTTTTAGACTATTTCCACCCCTGGCCTGGATCCCAGAAGCTTCTCCACCTCCAGTCATGGGCCTTATAGCTCAGCTTCTTTAAGAGACCCTAGGAAAGCACCTCACAACTAGCTTCATGTTCGTAAGGACAAACAGACCAAGGATTCCCATTCCGATGGCTGCTTCATCCAGCCCCTATCTGTCTGTCCCTCAATGAAGGGAGAGCGTCCAGGGGCAGATGCACCTGTTCCCATGGTTAGTTTAAGAGGTCATATGAACACAGGAGAGGATTGTTAACCATGTAATACTGCATGGTGGGCTGACGGTGGAAGAGAGAGCTCAGTGAAAAATGCAAAGCCCTGTGCTTTTGTCATTCTCCTACGTCTGTAGACTACCTGTGGTCACTAAGGCCAGCCTTCAAAGTGAGGCTGTGCTCACTCTCCTATGCCAGTAGACTGCAACCTGTGGTCACCAAGGCCAGCCTTCGAGTGAAGCTGCCTTTACGAAAAGCAAGTCCCCAGAGGTACTCAATGTGACCGGCTAAGTGGCCCTTCCAAAGATATATGTCCATCCTGAATCTGCAATCGTATGGGGGAAACGGTCTACAAGTAAAAGAGATTTGACTAATCTCAAGATGAAGTCATCTGGAATTGTCTGGGTAGACCCTCATGCCATGACAAGTGTCTCTTTAAGAGCAAGGAAAAGAGTCCTTGGAGATGTGTGAGCTGAGAGAGGCAGCCACCAAGAGATGCTGCCACAAGCCACAGGGCACTTGCAGCTACCAACACTGGATGGGGTACGACAGCTCCACCATACAGCATCCCAAGTGAGCACACCCATCACCTTGGACTCCTGGCTGCCAAGACTGTGAAAGAATAGATTTGAGTTGTTCTCAGCCATCTGCCTGTGATACTTTGTTCCAGTGGCCCTAGGAATAAACCCACCTACATGTGTGAATAGACAATTTTTAGACCAGATAGCAAAAAAAAAACCATAAAAAACAAAGCAATGTTTTTAAATAAACAATGGCTTATTTAAATATACACCTGTCTGGGAGAAAGACTTATGGGAGATATACAGACATAACTCAAGAATTTTACTTAAACAATACTAACTGAAGTTAATATTAACACAAATCTGAGTTGACCCATAAATGACAAGGGGGTGTATTGCGCTTGACACTTGACCACCCTGATCAGAATGACACTGTGAAGGTTGCCGATTGTCACATGTGGAAACTGAGGCTCAGACAAACACTGCTTTCACAGACCTCAGATAAAGAACAAGTAGCTTACCATGGTGGCCCCTGTCCACTTCCCCACTCTCAGGTTCAGTGACCACAAATATCTCATTTCTGATTGATAGTGTGTCTGAGTAGGGCAGGAGGTGACACAGAGGAACAAGTAGCCAGCCAAAGGGAGAGAGCTCAGGCCCCCCATGGAAGCTGGGTTGTTGCCTTTCCATCTTGTCCTTATGAGACTGAAGGTTGCTGCTCCACAGATCCGTTAATACTTAATCTGCTAACCTCATGCAGAGCCCTGAAATTGCTGCAAGATGGTTATAAAGTCTTTGTGTGGATGGCTTTTCCATTCAGTGGTAAAACTGGAAGGCCTTATCACTCTTTTTATAACTTTCCATATAATTTTTATGAATCCAAACAGCTAGCATCAAAGAGTCCAGGATGCAATTGCCCCTGTGATCCAAACCAAGTGACAGAACCAAGTGGCTGAACACATGGGTTCTGCTCACTCAACTTGGCCAGAACATAGCACGGGAGTAGACGGATACAGGAGGAGACTCAAGTTTAATCATCACTCTTGGTTCCTGAAGACAGCCATAAAGAAAGAGGCAATAAAATATGGGATCACCCCCTCCTCAGTGTTCCTGCCCATCACATACAGAAAGGTTTACTGGGAGAGCTAGAATTGGAGCTCAGAGTTAGGGTGGGCTCTACTGAGGCCATCCCTCAGAGGAGCCACCTCATTGAGGTTACTTGTTCCAAGGCTCGTCAGCTCCAGCACTACACACTACAAGGGCTAGAAAGAGCTCATTCCACCTGGTAAATGTGTCAGCACTGCTCCAAAGTGGACTGTGGCCCCACAAGCTGTGTGACATTGAGAGGCTCATCATCTGCCATCTCAGTTCCAGGAGACAGCCAGAGCATTGTGCCAGGTGGCCTGAGGACTAGAAAGACAGGGAAGGAAGTGCTGTACCAACCCATAGCTGCTGTGTTGGGATCTGGGAAGGAGGGGACGATGACCTCCATAGCTAAAAGCAGTTCTGATGTCAGGCAGACCTGCCCAGGTCACGATGTGACAAGTAATCCTAGAAAAGTTTCTTTTACCTTCCTCAGCCTCAGATTGGATGACATCACCTTATACATCTGTGGTCCACCCAGAATGACCGCTGTCTTAAATCTCACTGTTGATTCCACAAGCTGCTGAATCTCAGGCCAGATCCTCCTGGGTACAGACAAGTGACCTCACAGGGGAGGGGAGGGAGGACTTCACCTCATATCCAGGGAATGTCAGGTGCTGAAGAAGGTCAGGCCTGGTGAAGAGCCCACAAGCCAAGTGCATGCCTGCCAGTGGCCACTAGAAGCTGGAAAGAGGCACAGGCTGAAGTTTCCTTCAGAATGTCTAGAAAGAAGCATCCTGACTGACACCTTGACTTCAGACTTTTCACAGTGTGTGTCGATTTGTTGCTTCTGTCCTAGAACATTGGTGGGCCACCTGAGCACAGCTTATAGAACTTGAGAGTCCCTCAGGAAACAGTCACAGAGCAAGCTGTGACAACAGGGTATTGATCTTTATTAGAGGAAGGGAGAGAATTGTGACCACATTGTCTCTTCAATCTTCCAGCCCCTCCCATCCATATGTAAGTCCACTCATACTAGACATATCTTCCTGTAGTCTCTGATGTCAGATGAGGTCTCTAGAAAGAGCCAAGGCAGCATGACAAATATCATAGGGAAAGAGTCATCGAGCACATAGTGAAGGTTACACAGTGAGGGTAGAGTTGGAATATAACCTGATTGCTTCTGATCAGAAATTGGGTGTTTCGATAGGAAATCCTTTTTGACAAGATGGCACCAAAAGCAAAGAAGGAAGCTCCTGCCCCTCCCAAAGCCAAAGCGAAGACCTTGAAAACCAAGAAGGCAGTGCTGAAAGGTGTCCACAGCCACAAAAAGAAGATCCTCACATCACCCAACTTCTGGCGGCCCAAGACCCTGCAACTCCGGAGGCAGCCCAAAAACCCTCGAAAGAGCTCACCCAGGAGAAACAAGCTTGACCATCATGCCATCTTCAAATTTCCCCTGACCACCGAGTCAGCCATGAAGAAGACAGAAGACAACAACACACTTGTGTTCATTGTGGACTTCAAGGCCAACAAGCACCATATCAAACAGGCTGTGAAGAAGCTCTATGACATTGATGTGGCCAAAGTCAACAGCCTCATAAGGCCTGATGGAGACTGAAGTATGATTGGAGAAAGACATAAGACATACATTCAGTTGGCACCTGATGATGATGCTCTGGATGTTGCCAACAAAATTGGGATCATCTAACTGGGTCCAGCTGGCTAATTCCAAATATACACTTTTTCACCATAAAAAAATGGGTGTATCTGTCTTCTTTTTGATTCTTTGTTTTGTCTTGAGTTGAGGCTAACTTGTGTCAACTAAGCCTTTTTTGGTACTGTCACCAAGTACTAGAGAGAACAACTTATGGGAGGGAAAATTAATTTGATAAAGAAGCCAGAGTTTGATCCTGTGATCCCCATGGAAACTTAAATGCTGAGATTATCACTTACAGGGTGGAGAGGGTGAGACCTAGAGAACCCAGTGGTGGGTAGAGAGGGTGAGACCCATTGGTGGCCCTAAAAGGACATGTTGCTTTGGTAGGTGGCACATGGTGAGCACATGTGTGTCCTACGTGTTCTGATCACAGCTGAATTCAGGGCAGCAGGGCCACTGTTCAGTGCATGCTGGTGAAGCTAAATGTTCTCTGCTTCCCACCTCCCCCAGGTCTTTCTCCAGTCACACTTCAATCTACTTATCCTCCAGAACATCAAGGGTGTTTGCTGCCAAGGGAAAAGGAAACTTGCAACATGAAGCCTAGAGTTGCTGAATGGTGGCCCGGCACCCCTGAGGCATATTCTGCCTGGGCCCCCAGAAGCAGTCCCAGTTGGTGCACCAGCTGCCCATTATAGTGGGAAATTACCAATACGGAGCCAGGTAGAAATATAAGAGCAACCTAGCCAGCCGGCGTGGCAGCAGTCTGTCCAGCAAGTACGAAAGTGAAACCGAAAGAGCAAATGCAGTCCCATGCAAGTATCGCTCTACGTCACCCTGACCACACCCTCGCAAGCGTGGTCAGGCACACCTGTATCCAGCCCCTAAGTAGGCATGGCTACAGCTTCCCCTCAATTCCCCTTTAAGTCTAAAAGAGGATTAAAACTTAACAGTATCCAAAAGTAAAGTATCCAAAATTAACAATCATAAAGGTAAAATATAAGAAGATACAACAATCTGCTTATGTCACATCCTAACTATCTATTTTAACTAAACCCTAAAGTCATCTGAGAGAGGTGTCCAAGCCTGAACACCTCCTTCCAATCCCAACCATAAACAATAGGAAGCTATCCCTAACTAGGTATATACACTATCCTAAGTAACAACAATGGGGAAAGGGGGTGTAGCATTCTCCAAGTTACTTCCTGCTGAAATGGGACGATGATAGTCATGTGGGGTCCTGTAAGAAGAAAATATTAGTGTAATAAAAGTCTTGAATGGATTGTATCCAGTCCATGTTAGATGGGATTCGCTTGATTGAAGATCTCGCTTGAAATCCTCAACTTGATTGAAGTCAGTATCCTAAGCTTTGGCCGGAGTGTCAGTGAGCAGGATGACTCCATGCTCCAAGGTTTCCAGAGAAAGAGGTAAACCTGCCGCCACAACCTGCCCTGTCAGGCCGCTGAGAGGCATCAGAGCAGCTTCCATATGCTGGAGCCGTCCCGGAACCTCTGGGGTTTAGACTCGGGGGGTTTAGACTCGGCACTCCCAAGATGATAAAGACAGATCCAGATAAACAAAAACCTCTTAAGGTTTACACTACATTTAAAAATATATGTGGGCTTGTGAGAGAAAAAAATAACAAAAAGCAATATAGCAGCTGATTATGATGGCCAACGCCAGTAGGATTTGCTGAAGGAAGCAGAGGCAGGTGGATTTCCACAGATAAACCCTGTCTCAGAAAAAATAAATAAATAAATAAAAGGAAGTAAAAGTAGAATAATAAAAAAGCCGCCTAGAGATGAGAAATACACAGAGAATCTGGATTATGCCATATTGTTGTCTTTAAATTGTTTGATTGCCGAGGAAAGAATTACTGCTACTAAAATACATTTCATTATAAATGCTGCTAAATTAATCCAACTTATACATTTTAAAAATGTTCTAACTTCAGGATTTGAGTTTAAGGGCAGGCTACTTAGAAATAAAGGTTTTGCTTGTATTTCCACAGAAAATCAAAAGCTGTGGATTCCTTCCAGACTAATATGGTTTGATCAAACAAGACCCCCTGAAGCTGAGACAATACAGCCTTACAGACTACAAAAACAAGGACTTGGTCAGGTTTCTATGTTTTATCATGATCCCCATGGTATATGAACATCACCCCCAATCAGCAGGAAGCAGTTTAGAAAGAATGACGCCCAAATAGTTAGGTTTCCTAGACACAGAAAGATGTATTTGAGATGGATAGGTAGTCTTCAAATCTTTCAAAGACCCTCAGAATATATGGCATTTAAAAGGTTTAGGGTTTTTCTTGGCAGTGAGACACAACTGCTCCTGGCACACCAATTATGTCAGAAAGGAGATGGGCATCGAAGAAACTCATTATGGAGTTTGCTATCAACATGGCAAGATTAGCCATTTAAGCAAGAAACTGCTCTTACCTGGACTGTTTGTGGCTGTATAAGCTGGACATACAGGACCCACAAGAAAGTGACTGCTAAACTTAC